TCCCAAAGTGCTGGGATTACAGGCGTGAGCCACCGTGCCTGGCTGGTATGGTTTTATCTCAAGGATAATATTAATTGTGTAACTCTCAGATTTCCTTCCTTACATTCGGTATCATAAATACAGGCCAAGAAAATTCATTGAGCTGCACACTTATGACTTGTATATTTTTGTTTTGGTTATGCTTCAAAAAAAGGTTTATTTTAAAAACAAAAGTTGTGACTTCAAGCCAAATTTGCATGAAATTAGAAGACTTAAATGGCAAGCATATATGTATTAGTCATATTCCTGATTGCATGTTATGCCCTTATCCTTATTATACCTTTCTCATCTATTTTACTTTATATTATTTTCCATCTTTTGTGTATTTATCTTTGTAGACTGAAACTTAATGCCATTTGCAAATAAAGCAAAAAATAAATATTATGAATATATTTGATTTCACAATCCCCAACTGTAGGTAACATCTAACTATAGCAGTAATTACTCAAAATAGTAATAAAAATCACTCACATAATTCTAGATTATAGTCAAGCTTCTTGTAACTGAAGGAAAGTAAAGAACTGATCAGGTAGATTAGAGACACAGTCACATATTTTGTTGATTCTTTCCTCAGACTGATCACTAACTCCTCACTCCTCCATTCTTACATCACTGCCATAGTTCAGGTCTTTATTATCTATTGCCTCGGTTACTGAGATTAAATCTGAATACTGTTGAGTTCCTATTAGCAAGTTTTGAATGATATTTCTCAAACATCAATGTAACGGGAATATTCTCACTTCCTTTTCACTTATATTTATACAATCCTTCCACAATGATAACTAATTTGAAATTTTCCCTTTGTTCAAATGGGAATAGTAAAAAAGGACTAATTACTGAATATTCCAGGTAGGACAATGTTCATTGCTATACTATAGGCAGTGAGAAAATAGTTTCTTTTCTCAAATGCTTCTAATGACTACCGGCAAGTAAAATTTTTCTATCTGTACAATAAATTCCTAAGCTATGTATCAGTTTGCTTCCTCACTTGTCTCATAAAAGTGCCCTTATCTTTCAACTTATCACTCACAACTACTTGGAAATCTTTGTCCCTCATTGACATATGTTCTTTTTCTAAAGAGGCTTTATTATACTACAGCCTTTCTCTCTATAAACCTTAATCTTGTTCTTCTTTTAGGTAACTTTCATGACACAATACTCTCCAAGTTCTCAAGCTTTTGTTTCAACTTTTAAGTAATATATACAGAATATATCCTTCTTGAAAAATTTTTGAAGATTTTAGATGTAATTACTTCTCAACTGCCTACCACTCAGTATTCAGTTTAAGTTTGATCCTTCCTGACTCTCCCTCCCTGTATTTTGTTTATTTATTTATATATTTATTTATTATTTTTTGAAACGGAGTCTTGCTGTGTTGCCCAGGCTGGAGTGCAGTGGTGCAATCTTGGCTCACTGCAACCTCCACCTCCCGAGTTCAAGCAATTCTCCTGCCTCAGTCTCCTGAGTAGCTGGGATTACAGGCATGCACCACCAAGCCTGGCTAATTTTTGCATTTTTAGTAGAGATGGGGTTTCACCATGTTGGCCAGGCTGGTCTTGAACTCCTGACCTCAAGTGATCCACCCGCCTTGGCCTCCCAATGTGCTGAGATTATAGGCATGAGCCACTGTGCCCGGCTCCTCCTGGCATTTTAAAAACAATACTTCTATATGTCTAGCCACAGAAAGTATAACGTAATTAAGTTTCTTATACATAAACTAAACATATTGTTTTGCAACTTCTTTCACTTATTGTTTTTGAGAGCAATTTATGTTGATGAATACAGATTTAATTCTTCCTTTGATTTTTTTTTTAATTTTTTAAGACCAAGTCTCGTTCTGTTGCCCAGGCTGGAGTGCAGTGGTGCGATCTCGGCTCACCGCAACCTTGGCCTCCCAGGTTCAAGCGATTCTCATGCTTCAGCCTCCCACCTCCCAAAGTGCTGGGATTACAGGTGTGAGATACGGCACCCGGACTAGTTCTTCTTTTAAAACTGTTATGTGGAAGTGGGCAAATTACTTAACTATTGATCTGTTTTCCACCATTGTTTTGCTGGTCTGTTCTTTGAGGCTTCACTAAATTGTATAAGGATAAGTATCTCTTTCAAAGCTAAGTCTCCAATTTTTTGCTATGTTTTTTCAAAAAGCCTGTCTTCTGTTTCTCAATGTTTTATTACCTCTCTATGTTAACAATCCCTAAATCCCAATCCCCACGGCCAAACTTAACCAAACTAAATCTCAATTCAAGGTACTCAGAAATACCTGTTCTGGGCTTCTTCCCTATCACTTGAAATGCATGAAGCCTACACTCGTGCACTGTCTAAACTTCAATAAGCCAAAAAATTTTTTTATGGAGAATGGCTTGAAGAACAGTAAACGTAGAGACAAGGAAGCATTTTAGTATGTGATTACTCTAACAGATCAAGACAGAATGACATGGGCCTGAAGAGAGACAACAATAATATGGATGGAGAGGGGAAACAGATTTGAGAGACTTTTCAAACAAAGAACTGATGGGCTTGGTGACCAATGTGGGGAAAGGGTCAAGATGACTCCAAGATATTTGGTTTGAGTAACTGGATATCTCTGAGTGTCATTCAGTAAAGCAGGGAATATTGGAGGGCATGATCATGAGTCTGGTCTTGAGCCAGAGGAGCCTACATGACATCAAGGTGAGGATCCATGAGCTGGCTGAATATGAAGAAAAGATCTGATTACAGATGGTAAGTGATAAATGAAAGCATGAGAGTGGAAGAAATTAACCTAAGTTGGCAGAGAGTAGAAACAGACTTAGGAAGAAAGAAATAAAAAAACGTATCAAACATAAATCCTTTACTTACCTTCTTCTCAACCTGGGTCTCCTTCCAAGCCTCTCCATTCTTATCAATGAGCCTCTCTTTGCTTAAATTTTTCCCACTCCTTTGGCTCCTATATTCAGTCACTGCATAGAGCAGTGGGTAAAACCATGGACTCTGGAGCCCTATTTCCTAGGATCAAAACCCTGCTCAACTACTTTCTGTGTAACCTCGAACCACTCTGCTTCAATGTTCCCACCTATCAACAGGAACTTATTTCATACGGTTGTTATGGAAAATAAATGATTTAATTTTTAAAGAGCTTAGAACAGTGTCTGGTATGTACCCTATAAGCATGTGTTAGATATACAAATAAAGCCTGTCAATTTTCTTTGTGAAATCCTTTATAGATGTCCTATTCTTATTCCCATTTAACACCAAACCAACTGAGCTGCCTAATATTTTATAGAGTACCACCTCATCACTGCACTAAATTGCTTTTTAAAAGGTCACTAATGACCTCTTCATAAAGAAATGAAATACTCTCCCCTCCCCCAAGTCTCCAGATGCTCTGCATGAATTGATCCAGTGGTCTCTCCTCAAAATTCCCTTCTCTTGATTTCTGGGCCTTCTTGCTTGCTGTAACCCTGCACTCCTACACTTTATTGCCTACCTCTGTTTCTGCTACTCTGCTTACTACTACTAGCTCCAATTCCTCTTTCTGCTTCATAAATGTAAGCATTACCCCCCCCAAATTTCCTTCTTTTTCAAAATTCTCTTCCTGATGCCAGCTATTCCCATGGCTTCCACTTCTATGCTGATAACTCAAACTTTTACCTCTAGCTACAATGGTTAGGCTGAGCTAAAGATTTGCATTTCCAACTCTATGCTGGACAGCTCTATGTGTCTATCGCATTAGACCTTTAATTCAACATGTCCAAAAAATGAATTCATAATCTACACTAAGCTCATGGCTTTATTTCTGATAATAGCATCACCATCCTTCAGCTCAGAGGTCTAAAACCTAAGAATTAGATTTGGTCCCTCTCGCTTCTTCAGCATTCAGTTAATTATGGAGTCTTGACATAATCATCTCTAGTATACTTGTCTTCTTACCAATGACACCATTTTAACTGTATTTCAGGAATTCTTTGCCTCTCACTAGGCTGATCCCATTGCCCCTTCAAAAGAATCTCCGATAAGAGTTCCTATGTTTTAGCTAAAGAGTCTAAATGCAGTTAATAGAAAGTCCCTTCTCTATGGGCTTTCTACAGAACAAAATGATTTCCTGCAGTGCAAATCTGACCATATCAATCTTCTGTTCAGAACTCTTCAAAAAACTACCCATCTCCTTTAGGATTACACCATTCACCATCTGGACCTCAGTCGACTTTCCCAGTCTCATATCCATTCTGTGCATAGGAATCCCCCCATTTCCTCCTCTTCCCACACAAGTTATGCTCATTTCTCCACAGTATTGCAGCTGTTTTCCCTGAAAAACTCTTCAGCCCTTTACTCTCTCCAAGTACAATTCAGACATCACTTTCTTTCTAAAGCCTTCTCAGCAACTGTCCCTTGAGCAATTAACACATATGTGACTGATACATACATATATATACACACACACATAGGAGTACTTATTTATTCAGATCTGGCTCCCAAACTTAATCCTGAAAACTGGAACAATATCTTGCGAATCTCCAGTGTCTGGCATAGCGCCAGTAATATAAAAGGTGCTGCGGCCAGTGGCCAAATAGGGGGAAACCCCAGCAAAAGGGTAACCTAGCACTCACAGCGATTCTCAAGTACTGGCACTGAATGCCTGGGCTTCAGCTGGCTCCTGAGGCTCGTTTTATTAGGGCCTCACACCTCTGGTACTTCTTATAAGATGTCAGAGTCAGGCCCCCAAGCCAACTGCTGGGCCCTCAGCTGGGGTCCTAGGAGGCGGTCCCAGGGGCATCCTCAGGCTCCCCACTCCAGTCACAGGAAAGGGAAAGGGGCGGGGCGCAGCGTGGGCCGGGCCAAGGGCTCCTCAAGTCCCCAGGGGCCTAGGCCAGCCTCTCGGCTCCCATCCCAGTGCAGGTCCCGGCTGATCCAGGGCCCCAGGGGGGTTCCATTTTGAGAGACCCCGCACCCCAGCCCGGCGCTCCGGCCGTCTCCGCACTTACAGACCCGGGGGAAGGCCGCCGTCAGGATCCGGCACCGCCAGGAGCTCCGGCCCCTCGGGGCTCCGGGAAGGGGGAGGGGCAGGGAACCCGAGCCAAAGGGGGACCCAACGGAACCGGAAGGGCAGCCCTGGCCGGACAAAGACAACTTCCAGGTCCCATGGTCCTCTCCGCCAATCGGAAGGCTCGGAGGACAACGGGGCCCCGAGAGGGAATTTCTGCGTTGTGGGCGGGGCGCAGACGCAGGGCGCCGTACTCTCGGCGCTAGCTTCACTGCCTACTACCTCGAGGTGCGGTAGCCAGTTAGCGTCTGCGGCTCAGGCCCTGTGCTCCTCGCAGGGACCTGCTGCCCGGGACCCCCGTCTCAGCGGCTCTTCTGCAGCTGGGCCTAGACGCTCCCCTGCCTCCTTGGGCCTGAGGGGCTCTTCTGTACTTAAACTTTGGTAAGTCCTTCTCGCCTAGGGGTGTAGACTTGTCGCTCGCGAGCCCGAGGAGCAGAACGCTGTCCCCTCACTTTTGGATGTTTTTCAGGGATTTTGCCTGGGGGTTCTTCCGAGGGCAATCTCTTGCATTCCCATGGCTTCCGTTACCTACTTCATGCTGACCATTCACAACCCAGCCAGCTACATGGACGAGATCTCCAATTGATTGTTCTGATGTGAATGTACCTTTTAATTATCTCCAGTTCATCTCATCTCCTATCCAGACCGGAAAACTTGAGGATCCTTCTAGAGTTTTTTTCCTTGCCAATCCAGTTTACTGGTTTCTGCCCATTCTTTTCGTTTTTGGTGGTGGTGAGGGGCTTTTTATTGTGGTAAAAGATGCGTAATGTTTATTACTTTAATCATTTATAAAGTGTATAAAGCTCGATGGTCTTGAACTCTGGAGTTCAAGTGATCCGCCCTCCTCAGCCTCCCAAAGTGCTGAGATTACATGTGTGAGCCACTGCTCCCAGCCTTTCCCTCTTTTTAATGTAGTTATTTACAACTATAAATTTCCCTTTGATCACTGCTTTCACTACAGCTCATAAGTTTTGTATGTTGTGTTATTTTCATTCATTTCTATGTATTTTCGAATGTCCCTTTTGATTTCTTTTTTTTTTTTTTGAGATGGGGTTTTGCTCTTGTTGCCCAGGCTGGAGTGCAATGGTGTTATCTCGGCTCACCGCAACCTCCGCCTCCTGGGTTCAAGCGATTCTCCTGCTCTCGCCTCCCAAGTAGCTGGGATTACAGGCATGCGCCACCACGCCGGGCTAATTTTATATTTAGAGATACGGAGACGGGGTTTCTCCATGTTGTTCAGGCTGGTCTCCAACTCCCGACCTCAGGTGATCCACCCGCCTTGGCCTCCCAAAGTGCTGGTATTACAGGTGTGAGCCACCGTGCCCGACCTTGATTTCTTCTTTGACCCAGTGGTTAAGAGTGTTGTTTAACTTTCAGATATTTGTGACCTTTCCAGTTATCCTTCTGTTATTAATTTCTAACTTCATCTGTGTGGTCCGAGAAGATGCTTTGTATGATAGCTATCTTGTAAAATATTCTGAAACTTGAATTGTGGCATACAGTCTGGTGAATTCCTCATGTACTTTAGAGAAGAATGTGTATTCTGCTCTTGCTGGGTGGAATGTTCTGTATATGTCTTTTAAGTATAGCTGGTTTATTATGACATTTAGTTCTCTATTTCCTCACTTATCTTCTATCTGATTCTTCTCCCCATTATTGAAAATGGGGTATTGTAGTCTCCCACTATTATTGTAGAACTGTTTATTCTTTTAATTCTGTCCATTTTTGCTTCATGTATTTTGAGAGTCTGTTCCTAGCTAGGTAAATGCGTACAATTTTTATATAATCTTGTTGTAATGAGATTTTTATTAAAATATGATGTCTTTATCTCATAACATTTTTAAATTTTAAAATATTTTGTCTAATCGTAGTATAACTACATCAGTTCTTTTTCAGTAACTATTTGCATGTTATATCTTTTTTCATTAAATTATTATTATTATTATTATTTGAGAGGGAGTCTCACTGTGTCACCCAGGCTGGAATGCAGTGGTGCCATTTCAGCTCACTGCCACCTTCGCCTCCCGGGTTCAAGTGATTCTCCTGCCTCAGCTCCGGAGTAGCTGGGATTACAGGTGCCTGCCACCACGCCTGGCTACTTTTTGTAAATTATTATTATTTTCTGAGACAGAGTCTTGCTCTGTCGCCCAGGCTGAAGTGCAGTGGTGCAGTCTCGGCTCACTGCAACCTCCACTTCCTGGGTTCAAGCGATTCTCCTGCCTCAGCGTCCCGAGTAGCTGGGATTACAGGTGCACGCCACCATGCCCAGTTAATTTTTGTGGTTTTAGTAGAGATGGGGTTTCACCATATTGGCCAGGCTGGTCTCAAACTCCTGACCTTGTGATCTGCCCACCTCGGCCTCCCAAAGTGCTGGGATTACAGACGTGAGCCACTGCGTCCAGCCCTTTTTCCTTAAATTATTGAAAATTTTTCTTTTTTTTAATAGAGACCAGGCCTTGCTATGTTCCTTAGGCTGGTCTTGAACTCCTGGCCTCAAGTTATCTTTGTTCTCCCTAAGTACTGGGACTGCATGTGTGAGCCACTGTACCTGGCTCTTTTTCTAACCTTTCATTTTCAAGCTATTTGTGTCTTTGGATGTCAAGTGATTCTCTTGTAGATAGTATTTAGTTGGATCATGTGGATTGTGTGTGTATTTTTAAAATTAATTTGCCCTTTCTTTTTAAAAAATAAATATAATTTTAGAGACAGGGTCTCACTCTGTCGCCCAGGCTGGATTGTAGTGGCACAATCATAGCTCACTGAAGCCTTGAACTCCTGAGCTCCTCCACGCAGTGGTCTATGCTCCGTGGCCTCCCAAATAGGCTGCTACAGGTGTGCAAACCCACACTTGCTCGACGGACCCTCCCTTCCCCCCTCCCCGCCTCCCTCTTCCCCTGGTCCCCTCCGCCCTCACCTCCTCCGAATCGCCTTCCCCTCCCCCTCCCCTTCCCCTCCGGCCCTCCCTCCCCTTCCCCTCCCTGTCCCCTGCCTTCCCTCCCGCCTCGCCTGCCGCTCCCTTCTCCTCCCCTCCCTTCCCCTCCCCTCCCTTCCCCCTCCCTCCCTTGCCTTCCCGGCGCCCTCCCCCTCCCTTCCCTGCCCCCCCTCTTTTCCATCTTCTTTTTTTCCTTTTCTGTTCGTTCTCCCGCCGCTCTTCTCCCCC